TGGCGCGATCTCGGCTCACTGCAAGCTCCGCCTCCCGAGTTCACGCCGTTCTCCTGCCTCAGCCTCCCGAGTAGTTGGGACTACAGGCACCCGCCACCACGCCCGGCTAATTTTTTTTTGTATTTTTAGTAGAGAGGGAGTTTCACCGTGTTAGCCAGGATGGTCTCGATCTCCTGACCTCGTGATCCGCCTGCCTCGGCCTCCCAAAGTGCTGGGATTACAGGCGTGAGTCACTGTGCCTGGCCTCTTATTCTTTTTTTTAACCCATAGCCAACATGGTAGGCTTAATATTTGGTAAAAATGGAAATCTAAAAATGGATATTTCTCTGGAGATTTAATAACTTGTTATTCTTGGACCCCATGGACTAATCATTTTGTATTATTTCCATATGTGTAGCACTTACCATTCCAAAGAGTCTAGAGAGTATACATAACCAATGCAGAAGTTATTTCACTTACGAGTACTTTAGTAAAGAAATGGGGCCGGGCATGGTGGCTCACGCCTGTAATCCCAGCACTTTGGGAGGCCGAGGCAGGCGGATCACCAGGTCGGGAGATCCAGACCATCCTGGCTAACACGGTGAAACCCCGTCTCTACTAAAAATACAAAAAATTAGCCAGGCGTGGTGGCGGGCGTCTGTAGTCCCAGCTACTCGGGAGGCTGAGGCAGGAGAATGGCGTGAACCCGGGAGGCGGAGCTTGCGGTGAGCGGAGATCGCGCTACTGCACTCCAGCCTGGGCAATAGAGCGAGACTCTGTCTCAAAAAAAAAAAAAAAAAAAAAAAATGGAAAATGAATTAGGAGTCTTTAATATCAACATGTAATTCTAAATTTTTTGATGTCTTAAAGATATAAATTTTAGTATGTTGGGAAGAATATACATAATAGCATTTCTGATCCAGACATCTAGGTCCTATAAATGTATATTCAGTTAATACTGTTCAGCACTTAGTAGCTATTTCAATTGTAGAATTACTAACTGTGTTTAGTATTTGAAATAATTATCTTTTTTAAAATTTAGGAAAATAGAGATGGGGGATCTTGCTGTGTTGACCAGGCTGGTCTCAAACTCCTGGCCTCAAGCGCTCCTCCCATCTTGGCTTCCCACAGTGCTGGAATTACAGGTATGAGCCACCATGCCCAGCCTGAAGTAATTATCTACAACTCATAATTATTGCCACAGCCTGAAATATGAAGAGAAAAATCACAATTATAAAATGATGCCTAAAAAGGAATGGTAATTTTGAAATGTAATGGCCTAGAAAAAAACGGTTTTGGCCATGTTCAGAGTTTTCTTTAAAACATGAAAATGCCAGTTCTATACAAATTCCTGTTGCAGGTTTCTATTTTTGCAGTCTTTCAGCACATCGAACTGTATAAACTCTTTTTTTTTTTCCCCTGAAACAGAGTCTAACTCTGTTGCCCAGGCTGGAGTACAGTAGCCCGATCTCAGTTCACTGCCATCTCCACCTCCTAGGTTCAAGCGATTCTCTTGCCTCAGCCTCCCAAGTAGTTGGGATTACAGGTGCTCGGCACCACACCCAGATAATTTTTGTACTTTTACTAGAGACAGGGTTTCACTATGTTGGCAAGGCTGGTCTCGAACTCCTGACCTCAAGTGATCCACCTGCCTCGGCCTCCCAAGTACTGGGCCTGTATAAACTCTTTCCTTGATTTTCATCCAAAGAGTTAGAGTTTATACAGATTAACAAGGTGCCTGGAGGTATTTGTATGCCCTAGACAGAAGAGTCACTTCAGTCTGCTACAACAGTACTCTTTCACTATGGGTATAGTTTCACATACAATTGTGAGGGAAGAAGGTACATTTACTTAGCAGAAGCCATCCATTTTACCAAATGCCAAGTCCCTGAATTTACTTATTTAAACTAGTTTTAGTTGATCAGTTTTCATCTTCTCGGTAACATTTAAAAGAATGTTCAATTTGTTTCTGCTCCAGTTACCTGCTGCTGTTTAGGAGGAAGTGGACAGAAAATAATTTCTCATAGTCAAGAATATAATAGCAATGAACGTATTTTTTATCAGTGCAGAATTTAAAGATGTTAAGTCTGGTCCTCTTCCTTTTTCTGCCCCTCAGTCTCTAGCAACAATAGCAGGGAGTTAGGGCAGACAAATTGAATATTCCTTTTCATGCTATTATGCAGATTGAAACTGATCAACTAAAGAGTTAAATAAGTGAATTCAGTGACTTGACCTTTACTTAAAATGATTTTTGATAAATTTAGTCAGTGACCCAGAACTCACCTAAGCAGCCAGATCAGCTGAATTAATCCTAATAATGAATTGACAGATGCTTCAGTTACATTGCCTTCAGATCCTCAAAATTGAGAATATTCATAATAGCACATCACAAAATGGACTATCAAGCCGAACACATAAAATGTACATCTGTTTTGGACTGAAAGATTGACTAATAAAAGCAGTTAAGTGATCTTTTCTCTAGAAGTTTGTTTATACTGACTTCTACACCTCCAGCTCCACACTGTTACCAGAGCTCATAATTCTAAGAACATAGGAAACATTTTACTTTTCATTTCAGTATATCCAATAAATATTCTGCCTTGTTCCACATCAAATAGCACCTCTTTAGGTTTCTTCAGGCTCATACCTCATTCTTTTCCATCCCACCCCTATTTAGTTATTCATCCATTTTTGTCACTTTTTCCTTTGAAACTTGTCTCAGATTTAGTCTTCATTCTTGTTGCAGCCATCCCAGTTCAGTCTTCATTACTCATTGCCTTCTAACTTGTTTTTCTGATTACATTCTTCTTTCTAGTAGTAGGTTAAATTTACATTGCTTTCATCATATGTCTCCATGAGGTAATCCCAGGAACTCTGCAAAATTCACTAGCTAATCTCTGTCTTAACATAGGATGTAGTATCAGAAGAATCAGCTATGATCCACTAGTGCTTTTCTTGCTCACTTGACAGCTGCCTGCTATTTGAACAAAAGGCATCTTTATTTTCATTCTTTCTTGGATGACTCTCAGATGTGATCCTTTGCACATATATATGGATATTTTATATATATATATAAAATGCAAATACATGCCTATTATTACCTTTTGATGGGACACACAAGAACACTGTTGCCCGTTTCAGACATTCAGCAAGCATTGTAGTTTAGTCCCATAATCTCATTTTATCAAGAAGCCTAATTTTATCAGGCTTCAGTTATCTCATTCTGCCACCAGAAAGTAAATTTCTTGAAGGCAGGCACTATAGCATTTTCATTCTAGCACAATTTTTGGCAGTTTTTATGTATTTTTGAAATTTTTATTGAATAAATAAGTTAGTTGAGCAAACATTTATTGCATTTATTGAGGGCTTACTCTGTTCCAGCCACTGTGGTGACGTAAGTAGCACTGAAAAGGAGCAGATATGGTTCCTTAGCGTAATCATAGTTCATTACAGCTTCAAATTCTTGGGCTCAAGGGATCCTCTTGCCTCAGCTGCCTGAGTAGCTAGGACTACAGGTGTATGCCACCATGCCCAGCTAATTAAATTTTTTTTTTTTTTGGTAGAGCCAGGGTCTCACCATGTTGCCCAGGCTGATCTGGAACTTCTGGCCTCAAGCAATCCTCCCACTGTGGCCTTCCAAAACTGGTGGCATGAGCTACCATGCCCAGCACAGCTCCTGTCTTGAGTTTATGATCTAGTGGGAAAGGCAGGTATTAAACAAATACATGGCCAGTTATGATGGTCTATAATGGACATCATCAGTTCCTTCTCTTTATGTATATGCATGCTATTTTTCATGTCTAGAAATAGAGTCTAATTCCCCTCTCCTTGAATCTGGGCTGATCAATAGAATATGGCGGAAATAAACATTTTGGAACTTTTGAGGCTAGACCTTAAAGCTGTAAAGCTTGTGTCTGGGTCTCTGGGAATACTTTTCTCTTAAAACCCAGTCACTCTGTTATAAGAAGCCCAAACCACATGGAGAGGCTTTGTGTAAGTAATGCCTATCAATAGCCCCAGCTGAACTTCAGTGGCCAGAATCAACTGGTCCTGTGAGTGAGCCATTGTGTACCTGCAGTCCAGTCCAGCCTTTAGATGACTTCATCCCCCCAATACCTTACTGCATCCATGTGTGAGAAGACCTAGAACTATAGAGCTAAGCTTTGTCAATCCACAAAATCTTGAGAGAGAAT